ATATCTGCAACAAATTATTTCCCCCCCTGAAATTCAAAGGGGATTTTTTTTTTCTTTTTAATTGACTTTCTAGGCTCATTTGTAGGTTAATTTTGCAAGAAAATATTTTTTTTATTTGAAATTCAATAATTGCCACTTAAAGGGTTAATCGCATTCCTCCTCTAATGGTTCACAGGCTCACGTCAAAAATGTCGTCTATTTCAATCTCGAACCCAGAGTATGTCCGTGCGCAGGTTAGGTGCTGGGCATGACTCTGGAGAAACGGAATGAAATGATCAATTTCATTGGCTGGAGTGAGATCAATAACACCGATACCGGAAATTGATGTTCAAGTGCGGGAATTACACGTGGAAATTCCCGAATACGACGTAAACAAAGTCGAAAATCGAAATTACATTTGTGTTTGCAAGATTTCAAATACAAGTTAAATGTTACATTAAATCTGATTGAGGATTTACGTACGATCTGTACACTTTTGTATCTTGTATTAATAGTTTTTGTTTGTTTATATATAAATTACCGATATGAAAGCTGACTGACATGGCTGAATTCCCGAAAACAGATGTATTAAAATATTTACTTCAATTCAATTGCGCTAGTGACCGCCAGTGTTGAGGTTTTGGCTTGTCGTTCTGGACCTGTGTTTGCCGTTGGGAGTTTGGACCTAGCCAGAAATGAATTTTTGTGTAGATATAAGATTCTTTTTGAGTATACCATAATATTCATATAACTGTATGAATATATTAAAGTATTAAATTCTGTGAGCCATGGATCTGTTACAAATACATCAATGTCATACTATAGTAGTGAAATATTCGATGAAAGTAATAATTTTATAACAAATCTACTGTTAATTTAAGCCCTCCGCATCCTCTCACATTGAGATTAGATTACAAGCTATAGTTTCTAGACTCCATGCCTGAAATAAATAAGCTGCTTGGCCAGCTTGGGGCTTAACAGAAAAGTGTCTGCTACTGCATACAATTTAATGTGCTAAAATTATATATGCTAACAATACCAGTATGGCTACGACCAGTGGTGTAGTCCTGGAATGTTAACAAGGGGGGCTCTCCAACAGGGGCGAAACTTCTGTGTTACAGCTGGGGGTAACTTGTTTTGCCTGACCAAAAGGGAGTCTAGCTCCAAAGTCGTTTGATCAGTCGCTAATTAATATTTCTTTTCAAAATTGTTGGTGAGCAGAGTATTTTTCACTACCACTTTTTACTACCACTATTTCAATCTGAGACACTCAAAGATTTTCAAAATTTGCCTGACTAAATTGTATGGGTATACCCGATGAGATAGAGACAGGGGGTGTCTCCAAAAGTGTGGGGGGGGGGGGGGGTGTTTATAATATGATATTTTGAAAATTTGAAATTTTGTTGGGTTTTTTTTCTAATAATTGTGACATATGGGACTTATTAAAAACAATGGCCGTTAGTAATATAAAATATTCTGAGCGTCTCAAAAGGGTATGTAATTCAAGGTTTCTGTACCACTTTTTGTAGATGCAATTCTAAAGAACATTCTCATTTAAGATTATGTGAAAATTATAGGGGGGGGGGGGGCTCAGCCCCCCAAGTCGACATGAAATTTCAACAAGGAGGCTGAGCTATGACAATGCCATAGTGGTAGCAGGTCATCCCACATGCATCTTGCCTGCAACATTATATAGTTAACGTACAGTACATATTCAATGGGAATAGTAACTAGTTACCTTGACCTCACTATGTGCCTGTTGCATGAATACATCAGCACATAAAAGGCATGACATTATCTCCCAGGGATATGCAGCAATGTCAGGAGGTCAGGGTAATGTAACTTACCCCATAACGCCAATAATGGCAGATTTCCCAATCAGTGCCCGCAGTATTTGGATAGGCAATTTAGCAACACCCTGCCTTGCCTGTTACCTTTCAGACAGGCACCAAACCTGACTAGATGACATTGTCCTGTGTTAATTGTTAAACCCAATAGTTTATATGATATATATATATAATATCAGCAAAAACACTTCAATGTTCAAACACTGTGTCATAATTCCATTTAATTATTAAGTTATTTTCAAGCATCAATAATTGTGAACATAATTTTTTATGACTCAATTAAATACATATAACCATGGAACTGTTTGTATGAATGCAATGCACAAAGTTAAATCAAAGGAATGATACAGAGTTTAAACAGAGGGAAGTATTTTCATACAATCATACTCATTTTAAATATCAATACATGTCATCAAAGCACCAATTATAGTATTTAATGTAATAAACAAAATAGGCTAACCAGCCACAGGTCCAACAGTGGCACATCAAGCATTTTAGACATTTTAATATCATAAAAACTACTATTAAATACTAAATAGTATGTAATATAAATCTAGATCCTCTAAACCTCTGTCAGTGGCCTTCTTGCGAAGTCTCTCGACCATCAGTCTCTTACCATTTCTTGACCGTATAAAATCCATAAAAAATGCTTATTTATATATACCGCATAAATATTTAATCTGTAACTTTTAGCACAAGAAAATAAATCTTTTTCAATTGATTTCAATGTGCGATTTTATTTCTAATTTTTATTTCTAATGACGCCCGCTCGCGCGGCGGTGTTGCGGTTTGAGTATGAGCATGTGCGCATGGGTGTTCTCCAGAGTCATGCCCAGCACCTAACCTGCGAACGGGCATACTCTGGGTACGAGATTGCGTCGATTTAGGAGTTTAAAAAATATGAAAACAGAAATATTTTGGTTTTTCAATCCAATAGTGCGACTATTTTCCTCGGCATTAGTTGCAGAGCATACTTGAGTACTCGTACGGTTTTGATAAAATCGTAGCTTGTTTACAGACGTTTTAAAATCCTTCGAAAGTTGGCACTTGGCGACTTCATGGCGTTCAGAACTGGTGGCAATTTTTCGCAATACGTGCCTGGTAGTCTTCTTGGATCATTGGTGAATATCGCAGCCTCGCAGGTTGTACAGTATAGAATATAAAGACTATGTTGAACTCACAGGTGCGTAAACACAGTTTAATCGAATTTTATGCATATACAGGGTGTATTTGTGACAATTTGTCATAATTTCAATGCCTGAACCGTGCTAAAGGCGGATTTCCAGTCCTCGGGGTATATATCAATATTGCTTTTATGAAGTAAAACGCAAGACAATGCTCGGTGATTCTGAGTATACTCGTCTTGTACGGCGTGTTCGCCTTATAACTTATAAGCATTTATTACGACTTAAATCAGATCCGCTGACATCAGTAACATGCATACAATTATATGCATATGTGACCTGGCCTAAAGCTAAAGACAAAAGATTATCCAGTGATCAATTTAAAGGATTAGTGTCAGGGTCATGCATTGCGGGTTTTTGTTATTGTTTACATTTTACTCAAATACAACAAATAGCGATAAAAATACCTTGTTTGGTACATTTCTGATAAAAATCAGACAAAAAGAGCAAGGATTAGAAAAGGATGGTTTAAATATATGACGGATTGTAAAAACTTTCCAGATCATCTATTCTATTCGTCCCGAAAAATGGCCGCCAGCAGGAGTTTGAGCCCGCGAACTCCTGGTGTGACACTAATCCTTTAATGAATTTTGTTAATTGTTAAACTAATGCCTAACAGCTGTATGAATGAATGTTCAAGTCCTGTTAAATGTTGTTGGAAATTGACGTTATTTTGCTTTATACATTAGTGTATTTTGAAGGACAACGATGGACATTTAGAGTTAGTAGGGGATTGCTGAACACGTGCGAGAAAACAGGGGGGAGTGAACAATGTTGGGACTGTGACTTGGGATTTTAAAACAGCGAGTTGGGAGTATAGTTTATTGCTATTAAATTATAAAATACATTTCGTGTTCCGTACTTATTTGGAGGCACAATTTCGGAATACGTGGCACCTACCGACGAAGATATATTTGTGATATTTTGGGATTTATTTCGACGCTAGCGAGCAATTTATTATGGCGAACGAGGAAGCGAAACTCGATACAAAACTCACTCAGTTGAGATTAACGGCGCAAAGAACCGGGAAAATACTTGATGCTGGAAAACGAGAAACGATCGAACGGCATTTAAAGGCACTCCAAACAACAA